TTAAAGATTTTATTTATTTATTTGACAGAGAGAGACACAGCAAGAGAGGGAACACAAGCAGGGGGAGTGGGAGAGGAAGAAGCAGGCTTCCCGCTGAGCAGGATCCTGGGATCATGACCCAAGCTGAAGGCAGACGCTTAACGCTTAAAGACTGAGCCACTCAGGCGTCTCAAGCACAATTAACAATTTTAAGGACCAGTAAATATAAGTAAGGCAAAAATACCTAGAGTTAAATTAGGAAAAGTAAAATGAAGTTCTAGGATTATTCCTTGATAAATCCTCTGATATTAAGGTTGACATGCACCAAAGTTTTCGTTTTCTTCCTTCACATTTATAAATTCCTGATATTAAGGAGTGAACTTCTGATGATCTTCTGATATTTACTATATTCCTAGGCAATTTAGGCTGTAAAAACAAATAAAAGGCTCTTCATATTAATTATAGGATCTAACCAGCATGAAGTCCTATCTCAAATTAGATGAAATTCATAATTAAATGCCTTTCCCATAGATTATTTTCAGAGCTTCTTACCAGCATGATCTTTCCGATACTAAGATTTGAACTACGTAAAAAACCTTCCCACATTCTTTGCATTCGTAAAGTTTCTCACCATTATGAATTCTCTGATGTTGAGAAAGGTCTGAGGAACAATGAAAGGCCTTTTTACACTCCTTACATTCAAAGCATTTCTCACCAGTATGAATCCTCTGATGTTCTGTAAGTATAGAACTATTACAAAAGGTCTTTCCACATTCGTTACACACATATGGTTCTCACCTGTGTGAATTCTCTGATGTTCTGTAAGTTTGGAACTGCTACAAAAGGCCTTTCCACAATCTTTACATATATAGGATTTTTCACCAGTATGAACTCTCTTATGTTGGTTAAGAGCTGAGCAACTTCCAAATGCCTTAGCACAATTTTTACATTCATAGGGTTTCTCCCCAGTATGAATTCTATGATGTATAAAAAAAATATGATGCATTCTTAAAGGCCTTGCCACATTCCTTACATTCATAGGCTTTTTCACCAGTATGCATTCTCTGATGCCTTTTAAGATCTGAGGAATAATGAAAGGCATAATAATGAAATGCCTTTTAAGATCTGAGGAATAATGAACGGCATTCTTTACACATATAAGGTTTCTCACCAGTGTGAATTCTCTGATATTCTTTAAGTACTGAACTGCTATGAAAGGTTTTTCCACTCTCCTTACATATATATGGTTTCTCACCAGTGTGAATTCTCTGATGCAGAGTAATGGCTGATTTACTACTATAGGCTTTTCCACATAACATACATTGATAAGGTTTCTCACTCGCATGAAGTCTCCAATGATAAGTAAGGTCTGAGGAATGATAAAAAAAAAAAACCATCCCACCTTCCTTAACTAGACAGAGTTTCTCACACATGCAAATTCCCTGATGTGATAGAAATACTGAGCCAGTACCAAAGGCTTTTCCACATTCTTTACCTTCATAGATTTTCTCCTCAGTATGAATACTCTGATGTGCACAGTATAAGGCCCTATCACATTCCTTATGTTCACAGTTTTCACCAGTAAACATGATCTGATGCTGAGTATGTTTTGAACCTCTACTAATAACCTTCCCAAATTCCTTATGGTTCCTGAACTTCTTGCCAGTATCAATTCTCTGCTGTGTAGTTAATTGTAAGTCATGTACAAAAGCTTTCTCCCAGCTCTTGCATTCATAGTCTTTCTCTTCAATATATGATTTTTGATATGGAGATGTGTTGTGACTGAAAATGTATATATTTTCATAGTTGAAAATAACTTGATTAAAATTTTTCTCATGAGATCCTTGTTTTTTGTCAGTCTTTCTTTTACATTCCCAGTCATTTCTATAACAGGAACACTCAAGTCCATGTTTTTTAAGACTTCCCAATATAAACCACTGGGGTGATTCTATTTCATAAACTTCCTTCTTCAGAGATAATTCCTTGGTTTTACACCAAGATTCATGTTCTGAAAGAAAGCATAATAGAAAACATTCACTTTTTTCCCCCTGGAAGAAATGAAACTTTTATGGTATAAATAGGGGACTTAAATTGAAATTAATGTATATGAGATGTAAATGATTTATACAGTGATCAAATATACTGGTGGAATTTGATAAATGCACAAAGCACATGAATTGATGGGAAGTCATACTGGACGATGAGGTGATTAGGAAATTTTAAATGGGTAATTTCCAAATTTTGAAACAAATTAAAACTACAAGGAGGTAACATTTTTCAACCGTCAGAATGGCAAAAATCTAAATGTTTGACAACATATTGTTTCAGGAAGCTAAGGAGAAACAGGTTCTCTCATTCATTACTAATTAGATGACAATATGGTATACCCACTGTGGAGGAGGCTTCAGCATTCCCTAACCAAATTACTTATTTACTTACTCTTTTATAAACTAGCAATCTGAGTGACATGACTCAACTCTCAAGATATACTGACATAGGGCGCCTGGGTGGCTCAGTTGGTTTAGCGACTGCCTTCGGCTCAGGTCATGATCCTGGAGTCCCGGGATCGAGTCCCACGTCGGGCTCCCTGCTTGGCAGGGAGTCTGCTTCTCCCTCTGACCCTCCCCCCTCTCATGCTCTCTCTCTCTTTCATTCTCTCTCTCTAATAAATATATAAAATCTTTAAAAAAAAAGATATACTGACATAAATTTTAAAAGATTTACTCACAATGCCATTCAGTGAAGCACAATTTATAATAACAATTACTGGAATCAACCCAAATGCCCATTCTCAGGTAACTGGTTGAAAAACTATGGTGCATCTACTAAGTGGAATATATTTTCCAACTATAAAAAGAAATGAGGAAAACCCTTTTTTTAAAAGATTTTATTCATTTATTTGAGAGAGAAAGAGAGCGGGAGTTAGGGAGTTAGAGCGCACAAGCAGGGGGAGCAGCAGAGGGAGTGGGAGAAGCAGACTCCCCACTGAGCAGAAAGCCTGATATGGGGCTCTATCCCAGGACCCTGAGATCATGACCCAAGCAGAAGGCAGCTGTTTAACCAACTGAGCCACCCAGGCACCCCTGAATGATGAAAATCTTTATACCTCCCTGAAGTTATCTCCCGGACATACTGTTAAGTGAGAAAAGGAAGGTGGACTAAATTGTATATAGCACGCTGCCATGAAAATAAGAAAGGGAGGTTAAAAAGATATATACAATTGCTTTTATTTAGAAAAAAAAATGGAAGGGTAAACTCACTGGAGAGAGAGATGGAGAACAATGTACAAGAGACTGGGATAAAAGCTAGACTTCTGGGTGCCTGGGTGGCTCAGTTGGTTAAGCGACTGCCTTCGGCTCAGGTCATGATCCTGGCGTCCGGGGATCGAGTCCCGCATCGGGCTCCCTGCTCGGCAGGGAGTCTGCTTCTCCCTCTGACCCTCTTCCCTCTCGTGCTCTCTATCTCTCATTCTCTCTCTCTCTCAAATAAATAAATAAAATCTTTAAAAAAAAAAAAAAACCTAGACTTCCCTGAATATACACTATTTTACAGATTTGCCATTGGAATCTTGGAAATATTCCATATAATTATAAAACAAAATCAAAAGAAACCTCAAACTACCAAAAACAAATTAAACATGATTTTAGTTTTATAATCAATTTGGTACAATCAGAATAGAACTATTGGTGATCATTTCAAAATTCAGAAATCTACTTGTATAGCACCAGTGGATCATAACCCAGAGTTCCAACAAAAAAGCAAGGATGTAAGAACTTGCATGACTAGATACCAAGCTGTGTACCACAGTCAATTTTATTTCAAACCCCATAGGGAAGAAAAAACACTAACTGTAATTGAGCACAGAAGGGGCCTAGAAGGTACTTGCAAATGTTCTATTTCTTAAACTAACAGAGTAACAAGATGGGTCTGCACTGTATTACTACTCAGACTGTGCAATTTGGTTTCAAAATTTTTATACGCATGGAGATGTTATGGGTTGAATTGTGTTCATATGTTGATGTCCTTACCACCACCACTACCATGCCCCTACTTCAGGAGGTGACCTTATGTGGAAATTAGTTAAATTCAGATGAGATCATACTGGAGTAGGATGAGCCCCTAATCTAATATGACTAGTGTTCTTGTAAAGAGAATCTGGAAACACACTCATGCAGAGAACAAGTGAAGATGAAGGCAAAGATCAGCATGATGCAGGAAAAGACAAAGAATGCCGAAGATTGCCAGCAAGTCAATGGAAGCCAGGAGAGAAGCATAGAAAAGATTCTCTTTCACAACTCTGGCAAACGAATACAACATATTCCCCAAGAATATTTGAAAAGGGTTTTTAAAAGGAAAAAGACTTTTGAACATCTTTTTGTACCAAAAAGTAAGTAAGCACTTAAAAAATTATGTCAGCATGTTGGAAAGACCGAGAGCTACCCGGAAGGGGCTCTGACTTGCCAAACCTGGGATGGTTTAGGCACTAAAATAATTAATTAATTGTAAACCTTTGCAAAGAATACAAATCCATGAGGCCATATCAATTAGAAATAGAAAGCAAAATAAATTAGATAGGCAGACAGACAAACAAATAGTGAAGACACTTCCAAAAAGAAGAATACAGACTGAGAAATACAGAGGGAGTGATAGAACTGAAAAATGACTATTGTGCAACCCTCACAGGTAATACTGGTGTGAGGAAGAATCATCAATGATGTTAAATCGAGTGGTGGGGGGCATTTGATGAGGAATACAATATTACCATGGTGCCTCCCCACAGATGACCAATTAGTTGCAGAAAAAATAAAAACTATACAATAGAGAAAGCGGACAATATTTGGGACAGGTAATCAAAATTAACATCATCAATGAGGGGCAGAAGCAAATCATATACTTTTAGATATGATGTCCTGAGGATGACAAAATATCACATATTTGGGATCCTGGCAGGAGAAGAATAACTTGAACTTAATCATGAGATAATACAGAAAAGCTAAACGAAGAGCATTCTATTAAAAAAAGAAAGTGGACTTAATTCTTCAAAAAATGATCTTATAAACAATGAAAGTCTAATAAACTTTTTCAACTTAAGAGAAAAGTAAAGAGACAGTAAAATGCAAAGCCAAAACAGACTGAATCCTGTACGAAATGGAGAGAGAAAATGCCCTAAAGACATTATTGGGACAGTTGACACAACTGGAATATGAATGGTCAATTAAATAAAAATATTTTACCAATGTTACATTTCTTAAATGTTACTAGTGATGTTTTAATAATGTAAGAGAATATTCTTGTTTTTTGGAAGTACACAAAGAAGTATTAAGGACTAAAAGGCCATGATGTTTGCAACCTACTATTAAATGTTTCAGGAAAAAAATGATATGTATGAGTGTATGTGGGTGTGGAGCAAGAAAGAGACAGGGATGGGGGAGGGGGAGAGAAAGAATGATGACGTAAATGTGTTAAAATATTAAAATTGGAAAACTGCTGAGTCTAGATAAAGGAGTTCTCTGATTTTTGCAACTTTTCACCGAAATTATTTTGTATATACAATTATATGTATATACAAATGAAGAAACACTCCTATACTCATTTAATGAAGGTAATAAAGCCTTTAAACAAAATGAACCAAAACTGTATGAGGATAGAAAATTATAGGCCAATCTAAGTTACCAAATAGATACGTAAAATCTAAATAAAATGTTAACAAACTCTATCCTACAATGTCATATAAAATAAACCATATGACCGTGTTAATTTTATTCTAGGAACACAAGGTTGCCATTATAAAATTTACTATATCAACCAATTAAAGAGAAAAAAAGATTATTTCTAAAGATAGGGAAAATAATTTGACAAAACTGAACATCTAATCATAAAAATCAACTCTCAACAAGCTATGAATAGCTTCAAAGACGAAAGGTCATTATTTAGGGAAGATGGAGCTTCAGCCTCAGCCCTGGTAGAGGTGCACATTTTCAACTCTACAGAGCTCAAGCTTTCTCTTTGGGAACAGGGAAATGGAATATACAGGATATTTGAAAGGAGCTGAGAAATTCACAAGGGGAGGAGCAAATATTCCAGAGGGAAGACTGAAACTTTAGAGACAGGTATGCTTAGCAACTGAGATCAGGTTGTTATAGTTTTCCAAAATCACATTTCTGTACAAATCCCTCTGATCAGAATCCAGGCATCCCCACTCCTCCTGAGAAAAGTCTATAGACACATCCTTGATCACCCCAGTCCCTGAAAAAATAAATCTGTGTATTAAGGTTATAATAAAAACAAAATCTCTTAAATGGGAGGAGAAAAGAAAAAGGTGAAAATACAGGTGATAAAGAGAGTGTTTATAGGAAAGGACAGATAGAACAAACAGGCTGGGTCTGGAGGTCTGGATGTCAGTATGATTTCATTTATGTTCTCAAACATTCCAATTCCTGAAGATAGATCAAACCACCCAATCACAGTAGGATATTTCCAGTATCCAAGCAGGTTTGGGATGTACAAAGGCCAGCTAAGTAGAGTGTCTCTATTATGTGAAATAGTATAAGCCATCATCTAGTCTAATAACATCTGGTATATAATTGTCAGTAATAGGTAATTCCCTCTGCCTACTGTTGACCCACCTCTACAAAATATCTTAGAATAAAATTTGAGCATAAAAGAAAGAGAAGATCCTTTAAAAAATTAAGACAGAAAAAAAGAGGTATCAGAAATGTAATGTACTTCTAAATATAACTGTTAGAATGAAGAAAATGGTATAAAGACATGTTTAGAGGAGAGTTTCCCAGCCCTAGCAATGTTGACATTTGGGGCTGAATAATTCTTTGTCATGAGGGGTGCTGTCCAGTGCATTGTTTGCTGGATGTTTAGCAACAATTCTGACCTCCACTAGATGCTGGCAGCACTCTCGTCCCAACTTTGACAACCAAAAATATCTGTAGATGTTGCCAAATATCCCTGGAGCGAGTGAGGGTAGGAGTAAAATTGTTCCTGGTTGAGAACCAGTTTAGAGTCCAGACAAGCAAAGGTTCAAAAGACTCCCCTCCTGCTCCTATGCATCTTTGCTTGGAAGTAACTGGTTGTGCTCCATAAAATCTACAGAGTAAACCATCAGAGGTATATTAGGCATCTGCATAATGGGAAATAAGAGTCACAGGAGAAAGAGAACAAAAGAGTCAGTGTTACTGTGAAAGAGAAGTACCAGGATGACAGCTGTGTAGCAAATCTGCAACACAACCAATGGAGACAGGAGCAGTAAAACAAAGGAAACCAGACGAAAGTACTGAAGAACTAAATAACTGATGATTGTGACAATATGGAAAATATTATTGATAATCATGTGACAGTGATGTTTACACATTTTGATGGGTTAGCAACACAAATGTGGAAAACTGAGCAAATAACTTTAAAAGATAACTAGCACCAGGGGCGCCTGGGTGGCTCAGTCGTTAAGCATCTGCCTTCGGCTCAGGTCATGATCCCAGGGTCCTCGGATCGAGCCCCACATCCGGCTCCCTGCTCAGCGGGAAGCCTGCTTCTCCCCCTCCCACTCCCCCTGCCTGTGTTCCCTCTCTCGCTGTGTCTCTCTCTGTCAGATAAATAAATAAAATCTTTAAAAAAAAAGAAAAAAGATAACTAGCTCCAGGAAAAAAAAAATTACTCTGGAAATAATGTCTGCTTAGTATACTACTTGGCTCAGTTCTAATACTTACATAGTAGTAACTACATACATATACTCTAGAGTTAAGTAAAAATCATGTTATAACCCTAGTGGGGAAAAGCTAATTTACCACCCCAACACACAAGGAAGCCAAGGAATAATGACTACACTTGATTCCTCCACAAATAGTAAAATGAGAATAATTGGAAATACCAGTATAAATATTGAAGGCAGTTAGTTGACTTAATCTTTCTTCTCATTTTGGTATTTGGCACTAATAAGACCTTTAAGGTCTGTCGGTCTGGGCTCTAACAATAAGGTTCCCAAACTACTTAGACTCTGGTATAATTCAACCTGTAACCAGGCATCACTAAACTGTAATAAATGTTCCTGGTCCCTGAGTTGCCAAAAATCTGATGAAAATTGATGAAGATTCACAAAGAGGCTGAGGTCAAATGAAGACTGAAAAACACCAACTCCCATTTCGTCTTACAGTCTGTGATGATCATGATTTTCCAGATAGGAGCTCCCACTCAAGTGCTCAACTTGACCTCATCACATCATAGTCCAGGTAAAACGTGTTCATTTGGCAAATAATATCCTCATTTTCCTCCCTGTGCACTTCTGCTCAATCAACATTCCTGACCCCACGTGGGAAAAGATAATGATTTATAGAAAAAAAATCGTGAACACTTGTTGCCATTCGGAAGGGGCCCCTAGGCAACACAGCTGACTATACGGGATGGAAGGAAATGGTCAGGAAGTCCTGAAAAAGATGTTCCTACCCAATAAAGGGCAGGATAAGGAAGGCAAACGCTCATTGTGTTTCAGGAAGCAGAAAGGAAGCATTACCTCGGGTCATGGCTTTCAGTCTTGCCCGAAGCGCAGTCGTCCTCAGGGCTCCCCTTCTGGAAAAGGGCAGAGTCCTGACACTGTAGAGCTAGCAAACCAACGCTGGCCTCGGCTCCCAGAACAACCCGGTTCAAAGGGCAGTCCTTACCCTACTTCCCCATTGTCAACTCTCTCCACTTCACACAGATACACTGACAGGGATGGGAGAGAGAATGGACTAATTCCGCCCGAGACCAAGGCTCCGGCTGCAGCAGAATGGCCTCTGGGAAGCTGGCAGTGTCTGGAGAAGCGGGCGCGAATGCCCCCTACCCCGCACCACCTTGCTTCTGGGCATTCCTCTGTCCCTCCAGGAGCAGGACTCCGGAGACTAGACTTACAGCAGAAAAGCCCGCCTTAGACAAGACCCTGAGCCAGAGACGTGCCCCAATTCAGGTCTCATATCAAAGACCCGAGGGCGCCTCTGTCCTCAAGAAGGCGGTGGCTCCCGGAAGCACAGCTGCTCAATCCCGGTCGCCCCCACATGTAAATCAACCTCCAGACGTTAAAGTTGCAGCTCGCTGATAACTGAGCCCAACTTGCTAACTCCGCGGCGAAAAATGCACAAGCTTACCGGATATAAGGCCTCCGATCGCAAGGTTATGCTTATGCCCATTCGGACCAGTGAGCCTTTCAGCCCCAAGAAGTCCGGCGCTCCCGTGCGAAGGAGGGATTGGAGCTCAGCAGACGCCACAAGCAATGGTATCAACAAGGCCAAAGACAAAACTGATTTCACTTTACCAAATTGCATCTGCGCCTGCGCGACTTGGAGGCGTTCGCGAGGTCTGAACTACAATCTCCAGAATCCTTTGAGCGCACTCTACCCTTGACAGCACCACCCCCGCTCTTACTGCCTGTCCCTAGGGCCAACTGCCCTCCTTGGTGAACCAGCGCTGTGGGATGGGTCGGTGTTCTCCAGAGTACTGTTGCTAATCAGAAGTTAATGTTATTTAGTGACCACTGCCTGAGTGGCAGAAGGCTGCCAATGCCCTTGGCTCGCTCGATCCCATCTGGGGAATCATTACTCTGTTCTATAGACTTTGAAAACCAGAGTCAAAAAAGTTTAGTGACAACCAGAGAGTAGAAACGGATTACGACCCAAGATTGATTTTTTTAAAGATTTAAAATTTTTGTCCGTGGTTGATTAATTTTTGCATAGGGTAAATAAAAGATAAATTATATAAGGCTTGTTGAACTTCAGGCTAAATGTTTTTTAAATTTTATTTTTATTTATTTGACCCAGAGACAGGGATGGTGAGAGAGAGAGCATAAGCAGGGGGAGCGGTAGGCAGGCAGAGGGAGAGGGAGAGGGAGAAGCAGGCTTTCTGCTGAGCAAGGAGCCGGATGCGGGGCTTGATCCCAGGATGCTGGGATCATGGCCCGAGCCGAAAGCAGCCGCTTAACCGACTGAGCCACTCAGGGGCCCCTAGGCTAAATATTTTGACAAGAATACTCCATAGGTAATATTGTGTCCTTCTTAATGTATCGTATCAGAGGCCACTTGATGTCAATTTTTCCCATTCCTGATGTTAATTTATTTCCTTAAGGCTGTAGTCAAAAGTCCCTATTTAAAGCTATATCTTCTCTTTTTGTTTTTGAGTGAACTAGGGAGTGACGCTTTCAGACTGTTTGAATAAATATGGATACAGATTTGTCCTTTCTTTGCCATGTGGCTACTAAAAACATTTGTTGAAAAACCTATACGTAACATATACATATAATACATCCAACTCCTCAAGATTCAAAGAGTATTAAATGATCCAAAATGCCTTCATTATCATATACTATCTTTCCTATGTGTTTGGATCTATAGCTGGACTTTTATTTTTATTTTTAAAGATTTTATTTATTTATTTGAGAGAGAGAGAGAATGAGAGATAGAGAGAACAAGAGGGAAGAGGATCAGAGGGAGAAGCCGACTCCCTGCTGAGCAGAGAGCCCGATGTGAGACTGGATTCCGGGACTCCAGGATCATGACCTGAGCTGAAGGCAGTCGCTTAACCAACTGAGCCACCCAGGCGCCCCTATAGCTGGACTTTTAAGTAGTTCTAGTGTTCTATTATATTTTTGCTAGAGCTATACTCCTAATTATTATAGTTATAGTATGTCTTAATATCTGATGGTTCTAATTATCCAATTCTTCTCCTCTTTCAGAATTGTACTGGTTATTCTGATTTATTTTTCCATATAGACTTTAGAATTAGCTCATATGTCTAAAAAAATTCCTGGGTATTTTTAATTGAGATAGCATCACATTTATAACCTAAGGAATTATGATTTTTTAATGATGTCAGTACTGCAATCCCAGATGTTATACCCTTTTATTTTTTCATTTCCTGATTGCTTTGGAAAATTTTTATTTATTTTTCCATAATGATTATGGACATTTCTATTTAATTTATTTCTTGATAGCTATTTTTTTGTGATTACCATAAAAGCACTTTTTTTTTTCTATTGGATCTTCTATTTTTTAAGAATATTTGTACATGGGGCGCCTGGGTGGCTCAGTCGTTAAGCGTCTGCCTTCAGCTCAGGTCGTGATCCCGGGGTCCTGGGATCCAGCCCCGCCTCGGCTCCCTGCTCGGCGGGGGGCCTGCTTCTCCCTCTCCCACTCCCCCTGCTTGTGTTCCTGCTCTCGCTGTGTCTCTCTCTGTCAAATAAATAAATAAAATCTTAAAAAAAAAAAAAGAATATTTGTACATGAGGGCACCAGGGTGGCTCAGTCGGTTAAGCGTCTGCCTTTGGCTCAGGTCATGATCCCAGAGTTCACATCTGCTAGGTGGGGAGTCTGCTTCTTCCTCTGCCCTCCACCCCCTCCCTCATGCTCTCTCTCTCTGTCTCTCTCTCGCAAAAATAAAATATTTTTTAAAATTAAAAAAAAGAATATTTGTACATGGGTTTGTTGACTTCTCTATGTTAATTTTCTACCAAGGCAACTTCAGATTGGTCTCTCATCATAGTTTAACGTGCAAAAGGGTGATAAAATACAACTTTTTTTCTCCTGGATCTAGATGAAGCCACAAAGTAACTGGTGCCAACTCTGTCTGTGGATATCACTGCAGGGTATGCAAAAGAGCCAATGAACACCAAGTTTTCTCCTATAATTCAATAACTGAAAGGTTATTTATGTCATAGGACTGTGCGGTATAATTTCTTGCAACAACAGAAATGTTCTATAATATGCTGCCCAATACAATGGCCACTGGCTGTATGCAGCTGTTAAGCACTTGAAATGTGCCTATGAGACAGAGAAAATGAATTTTAAATTTTATTACTTTAAATCTAAATTTAAATAACTCCATGTGTCTTCTGGTTAATGTATTGGACACTGAAGAGTAAAGATGTCAAAGATGATGAAAAGTGGGACTGTCTTTGAGATAAAGAATTACTTAAAAGTGTTAGGCAGTTGGTTAGGCATGAGCAAGTAGGGATAAAGCAGATGCTGGGCACACCCTCAGAGCCACCCGGAAGGGTTAACAGCCACACCTTCAGAGCCACCACCAAGGGCTAACAAAACAGGAAAGGCCTAGTCACAGAGCTGGCTCAAAAGCCACAAGGGGACGTCCAAGAACTGAGCATGAGCACAAAAGGTGCAACTTTCCGTTAAGTACTTTAAGTTCACAGCAAAAGCTCACTAGAAACTCATACATTTGTAAATAAATACAATTATAAATAAATACAATTATGACAGACTGCATCATGGGTAGGCACATGCACCGAAGCCAAAATGTTCTATAACCACCAGCTGTCAATCAAAAATGTCAATCAAAGCCAAATTTACCTATGCAGAAAACAGGCTTAAAAGGATGCAGCTAGAGCTTCTTGGGGCAATTGCCACTCTTGCTCCGGCACTAGCCCGCTTTCTCTCTTGAGTGTACTACACTTATCTACTCAATAAACTCTATCTCCCCATTCTGGTCTCAGGTTTCCCAATTCTTTGGTGCATCTGGGACAAGAACCAAGGAACCCAGTAACAAAAATTGTTGTTTTGTGTGGTGTATTCCCACCTTCACGAAGGAAAAGATGGTTGCTTTCCTCTTGCCTCAAAACAAGCAATGAGGCCACTGAAGTAGTTAGTATCTTATCTCCGTACTTCAACCCTAACATCTCCATATACTGCTTCTTTTATATATATATATATATTTTTTATTATTATGTTATGTTATGTTAATCACCATACATTAGTTTTTGATGTAGTGTTCCATGATTCATTTTTTGCGTATAACACCCAGTGCTCCATGCAGAACATGCCCTCTTTTTTTTTTTTAATTTTATTATGTTATGTTAGTCACCATACAATACATCATTAGTTTTTGATGTGGTGATCCACAATCCATTGTTACACTGCTTCTAATGAATAAAATATGGCAAAAATGATGGTATGATGGTATATCATTTCCATAATGTTAAGTTATATGGCAAAGGTGAAGGATTTTGGCAGATATAATCAAGGTCCCTAAACAGTTTAAAGTGAGTCAAAAGGGAGATTATCCTGAATGGGCAGGATCTGAGAGATGTGCCTTTTAAAAGATCTATAGATCAGAGACAGAAGTAAAAATATCTTCTGCCGCCCTTGAAGAAACAAGCCAACATTA